TCCTTCCACACAAGAAACAAGCCAAGTTTTACAAGTTACTTGCAGAAGATACTAACTGCATTGCCCTGTTAAATAAAGTCTAGCAAAGTCATAACAACAAATAAAACCTGTTTCTTTAAAATGGTCTGATTTAGCTAGCAGTTCTGTCAGTCAGATTCCCCAAGGAGCATTATTTATTCCCATCTGTAACTTACAGCTGCTGCCCTTGCATGAGATGGAAGTGCAGAACCTTCACATACATGATGCAGCTCTTCAGAATTGGAAAGTGACAAAAAAATCTTAACTCCTTCTAGAAGAAGGTTGTCTGAATCTCTCAAACTTTTTTAAAGCTGATTAATTTTGTCTCTAACTTTGTGCTTGTGCTGAATGTGCTGTTTTCTATAGCAAGGGCACTGCAGGAAAAGCTGAAATGGGCAGTTACAGTGTGTCTGTCAGCTCCCACATCCTAGCCTGGCTGAAGCTAACTGCTGCAGATAAATTCTTCTTCAGTCTGAAGGATATCTGCCCCTACGTTTAGTGGGAAGTGAGAAAGTAAAAGATATCATCAAGCGCTAGGTGGACTGCAAATACCAGTCTCCAGGGAATAACTGGGAAGCTGCATTTGTGCTAGACAGTAGGAAAAGGTGGTGAAGCACATGAAGAGAAAAGCATGAGAATCATTCAGGCACAGGTCTCAGAACTGTGAATAAAAAAAGAGAGCCTTATTTTATCCTACTACTGAGAGGGGGGGAAAAGGTTTTGTTTGATATTTAATCTTCTGTCAACATTTCTTCCTTTTGATGGAAACAACCTTTACAACCTTAAATAATGTCATACATTTGAAAGCATATTATATGTGTGTTAGGGAAAAGGAACATTTTTTACAGCTACAGACTTTTCCTTCCTTCACATCTGCAAATTCTTGTTTTCCTTTTCTCTGCTGTTTCTTCCTCGGCTTTGTAGATATGGACTTTTTTACAGCCTACAAATCTTCAGGCAGGACTCTTGCTGATGCTTGGTGTAGACACATGAAAGGCTAGACCTTAACCTGTGAAAAACTGGAACCCATGTGGCTGAGTTCTATCTGGGTGTGCTGAACATGGAAACCCATTGATGTCAGCAAAGTTCTGCTAAATTGTAATGTCTTCTGAGTTATTTGGACCTGAGCTGTTGAAGCAATGGGTACCATATACTCATGGACTTTAGGAAAGTAGACAATAAGAAAAGCATGTGGAACACAGCCTGTTCATGCATGTGCTTAGTTGGCCTTTAAGTAATTTTTTTCCTAAATGAACTAAATGGATGCAGGAAACTGATCCTTCTTACTGGTATGCTGAAAATGCAGAAGCTTAAAAATTACCAACTGATACAATCAAGTATTTGAATCTGTTTCTAGTTGTCTACTGCACTTTGAACAGCTATCTTGAATGATCTGTCTATATTGATGACAAGATGATTTCTACTTACTTGTTAGAGCTAATTCAGTCAGCTCTGTCTCTTGGTGTGAGGTCGCAGAGAATACTGAGCTTGGAGACCAAGATACTGTATTCACTCTTCATTCCTGTGCAGTCTAAAACTTTCATCAAATATCTGAGTAATGCTGCAAAATACTTTGTCTTTCTGGAAGTAAAACAAGATATTCCCTGGGATTAAGGGTCCCAAGGTTTGTTTAATTTAAAGAGGTGAGGGGTTTTGATTTGTTGGTTGGTTTTGGTTGGTTGGTTGGTTTGTGGTTGTGGGGGCTGTTTTTGTTCTCATTTGGTTTGATTTGGTTGTTTTTCCCAGCTGAAGAAGACAAACATCTGCCAAAATGATGTTATTTTGTAGTTTTGTATCTCAGTAAACATGCCGTGAATGAGCATAGTAAAGCTCTAACAGAACCAAAGAAATAGCTGTGTGAAACTGCTGTGACAATACAGTAAGTAAAGCGGTCATCTACCAAAGATAAGTGGTCAGAAGCTCTGTGATGAGTTGTGTCCTTGCTGAGGATGTGCTTCTTAGGATGCAGTTCCATACTGTAGCTAGAGAGACCAGCTTGCTTCACCTGCACTCGTATTCGTTTCATGTCATGGGGGTCCATTTTTGGGACCTGAACAGAGAAAACTAAACCAAGATGAAAAATAAAGAATTTCATCACTGTAGCTTCTTGAAGTAACTTGCTGCAGGCTTGGAGGCTTCCCAGTACCAGTAAGAAAGGAGTAGAGACATGTAACAGTGGGAGGAGGGAAGCACTGATATTTGGCAGCAGATACGCGTTGGCTTGGTTTAGTTACATCAAATGTCTTAAGAACTGAGAGAAAAGATGTAGGAATTTGTACTTTGAGATCTTGATCTTATCTCTGTGTCTCAGGTTAGCTAGAAGACCAGAGAGGAGTGGTTAGAAACAGGCTATATATTTTTGTACCTAAGTCTGTAAGCCGTAATGCTGTTCTCCACAATCAAGGAAGGTCTTGGCTTTATGCATAAATCCCAGTGCATATACAGTTTAACTGAACTGTTCTTTTAGTTAAACAAGCTTGCATGTGAGCCTTTCTGGGGATAAAGTTTAATGTGGAATTGTTTCTCTTCAGACTAACCTTTATCTCACTGTAAAATATTACTGCACATATGTAACACAATTGTCTTAACAGTGATAATTTCAGCAAAAGCTAGTAAAATGTTTAATCTGTTGCACTGTGGAGATGAAAGGAATTTTTGGATCTTGTTTGGACAGCAAAGGAGTATTTTCTGTGTCAAGTAAGGCTGAAGAGAAATGGAATTTGAGGTATTTTTGTTATACTGGCAAATGTGAATGGGCTGGTGGGGACGAGTTATCATGCTTCCATGGCTATTAGCCATCCCACCTCCAAGAAAAAATTATTTTCTTCAAGGAAATTAGTACAGTTCTGTTTGCCTGAACTGAACTTGCTAAACCATTCCACTTTTTGAAATGGCAATTCGATATCACTGGTTTCACAATAGAAACATCAAAGCTGCTCAACTAAGAATTACTGCACATTTTAAACTTATGTACATTTTTGAGCTAGTTTAAATGATAACATGTTGAAAATGGTAGTAACTTGCAGCATGTCTGCTGCATCACATCACTGAAGTCAGTGAAAGTACAGGAATCAAACGTACAGGCTCCTTATTGATGCCACACTGAACAGCTGCACTTCATTTGCATAGAAGGGATTTCCAAGTGATTTCAGAATTTAAGTTGGGTTTTATTTTCCCATCTGTGTATTACTTTATCACCAAAAAAGGACACAAATGTGTCTGTGTGGATATGTTTGCCACTTTTCACGGAGCTTTTCCTTCTTTTGAGATTGTGAAGTTCTAACAGAAGTTCACTACAGTTTGCATCTCTTGTTAAGCAAGTAAGCTTGGAGAGACAGCGTCCCTGGCCACTTTGTACCCATCTTGCAGGGGGAAACTGTAGTGCTGAGTGCTGCTATTAATATATCTACAAGGATCAGATGATAGTACCCACATTTTACTTATTTTTTCAGCATTGCATCACAGTTTGCAACAGTGCTGGGGTTGGTAAAGTTATGTCATGGCTGTAGAGATTTTATTAGCCTTCAAGCTACCGACCCCATTAAAAGACACCAAGATGGTATGGCAACATAATCAGGTCAAAAATTTTATGAGAGTTACAAGCTAACTTATGCAAGAAGATATTTGGACTATAAATAATGCTACAGGGGTGCAAAATAACCTGCCTCTCACATATATAGTAACCTTTCAAAATAATATAAACTAACCTATTGCAAATGCTCATCCATTGGTATTGCAGTTGATTTTACTAGCCTAAAGATATTGGTTACCATGTTTGTGGTTTTGTTTGTTTGTTTGTTTGTTTTTGTTGGTTGTTGTGTTTGTTTTGGTTTGGTTTTTTACATCCTTATCTGAAAGAGGCTGGATAGCAAAACCTCTCAGTTAAAACATTGCTAAGACTTTTCACAACTCTTGCTCATGTATCTATCTCTTGTTTATGGGTACTGTAGAGACCTTTAGGAGTGAAAACTTGAGTATTTTGACTGGACTGAAGTCTAGCAATAATTTGCCTCCATAACTTTATAGGTATCTGTATATACCATGTAAGCATTTACATTTGCCATCTATTATGATTTTATTTTTATTTTTAAAATTCTTTTAGAAGTCTGGTAACTGTTTCCAAATTTCAGAGAGCTATTAAATTACAGCATATGTGAACTATGTTGATACCACATATATAACAGGACTCTTCAGATCTTTGGCATCTCTTGCTTGAAATTTCTGTGTTGGGGCTGGCCTAAAATAGCTGGGAAGCTGTCTAAGGCTGCTAGAACCACTCCACTTTTTAGGTGGCTCTGGATTGCCTTCCAGCTCAATTTATCTCTATTTTGCCCAATGGCCCTTCGGAATTAGGGTTTAGCAGGCTTTCTGGAGGCAGGAAGCACCTGGGTAGTCAGTGGCTATATCCTGCCTCAAGTTCGCCCCAGCTGAGGTGTGACGTCTGTAAGTAGTGCTGATGGTCTTCTTGGAATGGGAGCTGTAAGCTGGGTACTTACAGGCTGTATCTGCATTGTTTCCAGATGTTGTGCTGATGATAACAGTGTTCATACCTTCGCTGCTCTCCCCTGTGGGAGGACAGTCTTAGCTAATGTCTTGTACAGTATTTTATTCAATTAAGTTGTTCTGCTTACGTTCATGAGTAAGTTAGCAGAACGGGTGGGAGACATTATATATCATGACAAAATTATTTTGCAACAGCAACAATTCCTTAGTAAGTTCCTCTGCCTTTTGCTTTCAGTTAATGATAATCTTCTAGCATCTGCTGATTAAAACATTTCACAGCTGACATCTAGTTTTGACCACATGTGTTTTAATTGCAGCTTTTGTGGGTATTCTTTATGTAGAAAGCAGAAGAGCAACCCTCAAATTTCTATAGCAATAACTTTCCTTTGTGTTGAGTTTTTGCTTGTATTTTTCTTTCCTTATTGCTTGCATTCCCATAAAAGAAGGATGTGATTGTGATGACACCTTTTCTTCTACAGAAAAAATCTGAAATCTTATTTTGCAAGATACAAGACATTGCAGTGGACAAGTGCTTATGCTTTGCCAGACTTCCCTTACGATGTCAAGTGCATATTGGCAGAAAAAAAATGCCCTGATCACAGTATGAGAATAAGGATTATTGAATTTTTACAAGCAGACATGACAAAATACCTGGAAGGATCACTGTGAGTAGACAGTTATGTTTATTTGGGGACATTAACTATTGTCTGCAGAAGTAAATTTTCAAATGGATGTAAGGCCATTATCTCTAATACATTTGCTTAATAAAAGGAGGCTAAAGGCCTGAAACCTGTTGGAGCCAATAGGGAGATTTCATACAAACCTTAAAGCTATTCCCTTTGTTATTTGGAGGGGAATCGGTAGTCTTAGAAATAGTCAGTTTAATGTTTATCAGTACAGACTCCAGATGTTGTCTAATACTGTCTAGAATACCAACTATTTCTTTTCCTTCTCCATCTTGTTTACACAGGTACCCGAACAGTCAGCAATATAACGTTGTTGTCAGTGCTCTGCTGCAGGCATATCCGTTCCTTGATGAAGATGGGAATGGGTTTGTAAGTATGGTAAACAGTACTCCACCTTGAAAAATACAGAAATATTTTTTTTTCCACATAACTGATCACAAGAAAATAATCTAGGTCGGAGGAAATCAATATTCAAATTTCTTATATACTGTATTCAGAGCTGTAAGCTTCCTTTTGACATGTTTGGCAAGTTACATTCTTATTTCATTGTATTAATTAAAGATTAATCAAGTTAGAGCCATTCCTCAAAGCCTTTATGAGACCATGCAGGCTCATGTGTGAAGTCCCTGGAAGAGTGTTGGTACAGTTTCTTTTTGGATTGATTTTCCTTAAAGGATGAGTTTAAATAAATAGGACTTTTTGTAAAAAAAAAAGGAAACAACACAGACAAACAGAAAGCATCACAAAGAAGCCAAGCCTTTAAAAAGCTGCCTAACATATGACTGATGCTCCTTGCAATATAATTGCTTGTGTGATAGATATCTAGCTACAGCATGTAGTAATACTACGGGTTTAGGTATGTTGGGAATCTGGGCCTAATTAAAAAGAAAAAAAGTTATTTAAAAACACTGTTTGGGATTGCAATGGGAATGTAAAGAAAGCAGTGGAAGGAGATCAGTTAAATTTCAGCTGCATTTTTTCACGTTTGTGACCAAGAGTACATATTTGTAGTCTCAGAGGGCAGTGTTTCCTTTTTGACTTCACATCATTGCTTTGCTATGTGATACTTTTATAGCATCTTGTAAAAGCTTGTGAGACTCAGTGGGGATTGTTAGCTTCAAATGTATATAAATATCTATCTTGTGTACAGTTACTGCAGAAAGCAAAATAATGTTGAGAATAAAAAATATATAAGGATTAAAGGATGGCTATTCTCATTCTCCCCTGAGCCCAGGCATTGTAGGAGGGAAGGGACTAAAGAAAAACACATCTCAGAAAGGAGAGAGGGAGCAGAAGGATCAGAGAGCAACTGTCCACCCTTATTTTCAATTGGGATTCCTCTCTGAACACGCCACTGGGGGTCCCCAGGCAGTATCCTGGGTTATTCTAGGGCTTTGCCTGGCTCCCTTTGTGAAGAAGAGCTGCAGTGATGTTCCAGAGGGGTCCAAAGACCTTTTTACAGCCTTTATCTTTTAAAAACTGTCTTTAAACAGATGTTCTTGAGCTAGGTTTTCAAAGGGCTTTCAATTCAGCAAGACCAGCTGTGGTCCCAGATCGATCCCAGAACTGGTGCTGGCAGAAGTTATGTGATGGGGCTGAGACTTCAGAGTTGTTCTTCTATCTTGATATTTCTCTCATGCCTGCTAGAAAGCATATATGGAAGAAACCACCATAAGTAAGTGAGGCAGCTGGAATTAGCAGTTTGCAATATTGCAAGTCTAACCCTTCTGAGCCAGCCCCTCCATTGCTTGAGGCAGGAAAAAATGTACTGAAGGTATATGTCTGTATAGTTAATTTTGGAGGAGGGCGTGAGAATGAATTACTATTTTTATTGCCCTACTGTTAGACATTCTGTCCTTCCTTCACAATCACAAAGGCTATAAATATTTCTTTTTTTCTTGATCTGAGATAGTTGGGTGTTACAACAGCAACGGCTTAAAACAAACCCTACACATGCACACGGCTATTTAGCATAAGTCTTGCAGTAAAACAATTTGTATACCTTTAAAAAATAAATGAACAGCAACAACAAAAATTTAATAAACACCATTCTTCATATTTTCTCAAAAAAGCTATCTTCAGCAGCTCAAAAAATGAAGTTTTTTTCTAGACTTTTCTTTCAGAATTACCTTGGGCTAGCACAGGACTATAATAATTTCTGCTTGTTGATTCTGATAACAGCATTCATTCACAGGTTTTGTAAGACATAAAAAATTACCAAAATGTTCTAAATACCTCAAATTTGTTTATCTATAATAATTAGACAGTTATTATTACAGTTTTTGAATAGTACATTAAAAGTATTTAAGAAAACTCTTCAATAAAATAATTCAGAGTCACAGAATCACAGAATGTTAGGGGTCGGAAGGGACCTCCTGGAGATCATCAAGTCCAACCCCCTTGCCAGACCAAGACCCTCTAGTCTAGGGCAGGTCACAGAGGAACACATCCAGATGGGTCTGGAGACAAGTCAAAGCAGAGAGGTCTTTATTTGGGGTCTGATAGCTAGATGTGGAAAAAGAAACCTGTAACATGCGAGTAGTATTTTAGCAAAAATGCTAGTTACATTATTTACAACATGTGCGTAAACTTCTGGAGATGTAGTTCATATAATGTGGTTTTGTTGTCTACATTGGGAAGAGAGAAATAGCACTGTAGAAGTTTTTGGTTCTTTCTGTGCTCTTCAAAGAAAACCTTAGGTGACCAGCTGTGCACAGATGTCTGTGTCTGATAGAGATCTACCTCCTTTTGGTGTGTTGTAAGGCTGGAGAAAGGGACACATCAAACACTGCAGTTCAGGTGGGCAGGCCTCTGGGAATAACGGTTTCCAGGACTAGTAGATTAATAAGATTAACTTAATATATTTAGAATACCATAAACATGCTTTCAAATATTCACACTTTTAATTTCTTGTCAAAGTTACAGGAAAAAGAAATAGTTAAAACAAACAAACAAACAAACCAACCCAAACAAACAAAACCACAAAAAAAAAACCAAACAACAAAACATGAAACCCAACAGTGTAAGAGGCTTATGGAGCACTTGGAGTGAAATTAATTTCCCTACCCCATCCCAAGATTAACTTTTGGAAAAAGTGCTTTAAAGTGATTAACAAGGAATTTTTATGGCAATGTTTTCTTCTACTTAAAGAACAATGCTATCCTAAAGTAACATATAAAGCATTAAAAAAAAAAGTTTCAATTTAAAAATGAAATGGGTTATTTGATTTATGACCTATAATATAACTAGTGCAACATTTGTAAGTAGTTACAGACAAATCGGTTATACAGAAAAAGCCAAGGTTGTAGTCACAGCGGGCAAGAGAAAATTGGCATGACATTGTTTCTGAGTACTTCAAGATATTATTCTATTTGTATTTATTCCTTTTACAAGGGTAACAACCAACCACTTGGAGTCACTGCCCTTATTTCATTTCATTTCAGATAACAGTTGAAAAGTGTCTGATTGCAAGACAACCATACATGAGCAAGGAAAAGAGAGGGCTTCTTATCTGCACTGCATGCAAAAGCTTTGCCTAAGCAGCTCCTTCCAGCTCGGGGCTGCCAAGCAGTGCCATGATGCTGGTGAAAGCTGGGATGCCAGTGCTGACATGTCTGATTTATGTAACCACTGTGCACAAAATGATTATTCGCTAGTAAATTACTGCTTTTAATCTGCATGTAATCCTTTCCTTTCTATGTCAGGCAGACACAGCCTAATCCTTCTGCTTCCTTACAAGCATTGTAAACCTGGAGTAGTTTAGTTTTTTTTTTTTTTTTTTTAAAAATTAATCAAAAATAAAATATATCAGCTCAAAAATATTGATGAAAGCATCCTTTTTAGAAATTGCATTATCCACTAGGGAAACCACATCAATGTGTGTGCTCAGTCTCATTCATGAAATAGGTATGTACGAAGGGACTTGGCTAAGCTTATGAGAATCCTATTACAGAAATAGATTCAGTTAAAACTCTTAATTTATCCGAGGACAGGAGGATGAAACAGCTGAATGTTTTGAACTTCAAGGGATATTTAAAGCTCTGCATAGGTGTCAGCATGTTCTTTCATGCAGAAGAATAAGTGAAAATGTTTCTAGCCAAAGGTTTTCAGAAGGAAACTGACAAAGCTCAACTAAGGGAATATTTAAATTGTCAGCTGGTAATATATTCTGAGATGATAATGTTTTAAAATATTTTAACACCTGTTGAACACTTCAGGGAAGTGTTAAGCTAAGGTTTTTGTTTGCTTGTTTCATAACAACCTTAAAATAACAATGTTTCAAATAAATTTTGCTAGACATATAAGACTGGGGTATTTATATCTATATGTAAATGCATAGGGCTAGAACTGTAAATATATTTAGGAACCTTAATGGTTCAGGCAGATACCAAGTGGGATTTTCAAGGCATGCAGTCACCATACTGCTTTTGAGAACAGTGCTGGGGTATAATACTCAAATTGAGGCTGTAAATATACCTTGTGAGAAGACTGGGTGAGCAGTTGTGCTCTGTTTCTAATCACTACGTTCAGGTTTGTGATGATGTGACTCCTGTTCTGTCAGAATCCTAAGTATGAAGTTTACACATGAGAAATGTAGATGGGTTTGTTTTCTTTCCAGTTCTCAGATGTTCACATGTGACTGGCAGAGAGGGGATGCTTCTGTAAGAGCCTATAAGTGGGTGGCAGGAAGTGTCCCCTCAGAAAGGGGGACCAGCTGCCCTGGCTGGTCCAGGTCTGCTGAAGAAGATATGGGTTAGATGCCACAGGGGCTGTTCTCATAGCTCTTCCAAGGGAGATCTTGCTTTTAGGCTTGGGGGCGTGAAAGTCAGCTAGTACCCATGGGAGGCAGGAGCAGTCTCTTCAGTAGTAGAAATGCAGGGTCCTACTGCTTGCACCACCATCTTTTAAGTGACCCTCTGATCTGTATCCCATGGGTGAAAAAGGCAGTCATGTCGGACTTGCTGCAAAGAAAAACACTGTGCTATTTACTCTGCTTTTACTGAGTTCTGCTTTACACCAAAGTTAACTAATAATGGATGTAGTTTTGGTAAGAAATTTGGGGTAATCATTTTCCGTTTATATTGTGGTTTAGTATGTCAGTGAGCACAGCCTTAACTATAGTGTCAGAGTCAATTTTAGCAAATGAGGTAACAGCTCTCCCTTGGCATGTCCTGCCATTTACATTCACTTTTCTGAGTAATTTTTATTCCCTCTGACTGTTGGAAACCCCTCAATAACTGAAATAAGCAGTTGCTTTTGAGGATCTGACAAAACATTTTGACCATTCACAACTGCAGGGCTTGCCTGAAGACATGCTTAGTAGACTTGGCTTAGTAATTGCCTCCCTGGTCGTTATCATGCCTGGGTCCTGCCATAGGATGCCCAGCCAGGGACTGCAGGTTAACAGCCATCTGTCCATAAGGATGCATGAGGAAATCCAGCTGCCAAGGAGTGATGACTGGCTCCACGAAACAGGGACTCCATCCTCTTGCAATGCAGACCTGCCTTTAAATTGCAGTTTACATGCCTTGAGGAGTCTCACAAATGCTAAGACCTACTTAAGTGATTTTTGTAATCCGGTAATTTTGAACTCAGTTTAATAATACACTTGATCTAATATAACTGTAAGCTTCCTGCAAAAGGGAGCATCCCACTGTGTCTTTCACGCTCCCTTGCAATAATCATACAGTTGCACAACAAGTCAGAGGCAGGGGAAAAATAATCCACTCAAAAAACCCAAACCATTAGTCTTCTGTGGCATCGGTGAGCTGATTTGATTCACCATGTAGTTTCATGACCTGATGTCGTTGGCAGAGCATCCAAAAGTCGAGCCGAGAAATGGAAAGCAAACTGCAGTTTCATTGACGTGCCTGGTTGTATTGGGTAAATCTAACCCTTAGGTTCAATTACTGTCATCCTTAATGAACCATGCTAGTGCCAGTAGCCCTGATGTTTAGTTGCCACAGAGTCTTATACCACAGGTGTTTGTGTTTCCTTCAGTCCCGAAGACACCCGTGTGTGGATGCCACCCTACAAGTCTTTTTCTACTTAGTGGCAAGAGTTTTGTATAAAGTAGTTAGATGAAACAGAGTGACCTGCTTTAAGAAAGGGGCAGATTTTTGAAAAATACTGGTAATGGCAGATTTTTTTCCCTATGCAGTTGCTATGGAAACGGGCCCTTAAAGATCGTTTCAAATATGTGCGGAGACCCATTGAAGATGATGAGCAAGTCCTGAGGAACAAGTGCAAGTTTGGCCACAGGCGAGGACAGACCAGGAAATTTTCATTTGCTGAAAACAAACCTGGTGACATCCAGGTGCAGGTGGAGGTAAGATTTTTATTTTTTGGTGCTTAACTGAGTTCTCTATCTTCAAGCTTCTCTGCTGTGGTAAGGCCACCAGCCAGAAAGGGGAAAATGAAGTGATCTCATCCTATTTAAACTCATTTTGTATAGAATTTGTCCTATAGCTAGACCCTTGACTTCTTTTCATTTCTGGAAAACTAAGTATCAGCAGTGGAGCTAAACTTGATGCTGGATGCCTTGCACATTTGTTGTTATTTAGAATTGTTGTTAACTGAACAGAAAATTCTTTTTTTTTTTTTTAATGCAATGTTCCTATTTTGCTTTGTTACACACCTCCAGTTAGAGTGAAAAAGATGGATGTTTATGTTTAAGAGTTGAAACCTCTGTACAAATAAGATTGTAAAGGGATATTTCAGCTGGTTGCAAATGGCCATATCCTACTGCCCCATTGCACTTTGTTATACAGAAGCTGTTTGTCTTGGTGTGTGATATACATAGGGATGTTTAAGAAGGTATGCATGCAGTTATGTACATCCCTTTAGTGAGAAAATTCAGAGAACTATCACTGTTCAGTAAATGTTTGAATCATGCTGATTAATTTTCATAAGTACATTAAAGTTCCAGTTACTTTCTTGTGCTACCATTAAAATGTGGGAAAATTTAAACAATTGTAATAATGAGATAAAGAAGATGTCTAATCAGATATTTGACTTTAATATATGCTTGTCTGTCCTGTTGTTTATCAGACACATCTGGTAAACAGGGGAGCAAAAGTGTTTTTTTCTGGATGCATGTCTGCATACATCACTCTTGTGTTTCAAGGTAGCTGTAGTTTTCTACCAAAAATGATGTGTGGGAGTTTTTTATTGTTGTTGTTTTGGTGTGTTGTTCTGTTGTGGTTTTGTTGTGGTTTGTTTTTATTTTGGGGAAGGCGGGGCGGGTAGTGGGGTTTAGAAGCTTCAGTAATTTCTGTTTATCCCTGTTTGGTTAATGTGTGCAGGAACAAACACTTCCCTCTTTTGCCTGCTTTAGTTGAAAGGTTTGCAGAAGAGTGAATTAAGAAACCTTTAATTTGTGTGCAAAACAATCAACAGTTCTGTGTACAGTAAAGGAGAAATTATAGGCTCCTTGTGCGGAAAATGCTGTTGCTGGAGGTCAATGTTCCAACAGGAGACAGAGGAATCCTATAAAAAAACTTTATTTGAATAAAGGGAGAGTCCGCGGGCATATCCCGGTGGGATCTCTCAGTTTTGCTGGGGGACGCAGCCCCCTTTTTATCCTAAACTCCCGGCCGCAAATTTCCCTCCTCCTTTCCCCATCGACTGAGGTACTTGAGCATACAGACTGCCCAGTCCGCCTACTGCATATCCCCCTTGACACGTACCCCCCTTCACATCCTACATATATGTCTCATTAACTTCGTTTTATGCCTCTCCTGGGAGGAGAAGTTACTATGTATAAGTTCATTAAGCATGCCTACTAGTTCCTAAAGTTCAGAAGTTTAGGCTATCCAGACTTCTTGAGGTAGGTATCTGGTTTTGTTTAATTTCATACAAGTCCTCAGGTTCTTCTTGTTTGGTTCTTTTCGTATGTAAAGTGACCATTCTTTTACCTTGGATCACTGATGATTGCATCTCTCTGCCACTCCCCACTGTGAAGACACATTACTCTCCTCTCTATTCTATCACTCCTAGACTTGTGCATCCATTAAGAATTAGCTGTCCGTTATCTGCTAATATTTGGAAAGGGCAAATGTGAGTCTTCCTTGTCACATCAGCTAGTTGAGAAGGGCTGTGTCGTTGATCCCACAGGGATTTTTTCTGTAGAGAAGGTGTCACTGCACTGTGCAGTGTGTCTGTAAACTAGGGATCACCACTCTTTTTAATTGCATTGCCCAAGGCCATCATTGATCATGGCGTAAGAATGAGTCCTACAAAACTGAGGGAATCATAATTTACTTAAACTGTGTTTCTACATTGCAAGCAGAAACACCTTGCTCTGATTTCCTAAATTATGTCACTACAAATGCGCATAGCTGAACAAGATGTATGTTAATATTCTTTTAAACAAATGCAGTGTGGCATTTTTCATTCTGTATATTTAGGAACACACATAAAGGCACCTTTCTGCCAATCCTTAGCACTGATTACTTTGTGATAAATTCAAACTGCTAAATAAAGAATCTTACCCTCAAAAAATAAATATTTCATCTAGAAGCCAATACCTCAGGCAAACCCAGATGATACCCAAATAAATGTTAGCCAGATCCCCTTGCCTTCATTCCTTTTCCAGCTCTGGAAGAACAGATCAGCCTTATGTGGACTAGAAGCCAAAACACATCAGGATTATTTAAGGTAAAAGGGTGAGAAATGAATTCTAGGTTAAGGAGATCTTTGGAGAATAATCAGTGAAAGTTTCCTAGCCCTTCTGTGTCACCACACTCTCCCTTAGATAAGCAGAGCAGGACGTTTAGGGCATTATAAGTCAAAGCCAACTGGCAAGCAGTGCAGATGAAAGAGCACATCTGTTCCCAACAGATGACCTACTTACTAGCCACAGAGCTGACTTAATATATTGAGCTTCAGTTTCTGAACAGTCATAAGATGTAACTCCATCAAATGCGCTTTGTGTCAGCATAATCTTGGATTGTTAATGGTATGAAATTAATAAAAAGATTATATATTAACAGGAAATGCCTCACTGGTATACCTGGCATTTGTTTTTGTATGAGGAGAGTAAAAAACCTATTACTACTAATAAAACCCTTGACGACTCTTTCTACTTCATCACGTGAAAAACAGTTGCTTGCGAGGACAAGCTTCCTGTGATGTTTTGGGACATGTTCAGAGCCACAAATGATGTCTGCCTCTTGGTGTGTCCAAGTTACCTGCCAGCAGGCACTCCCCCAAACACAGCACAAAAGTTACTTGGCCTCCCATGCAAGGCATTGCTTCCAGATGCAGCATCTGGCTTTCTCCTCCAGTTTCTTTAAAACATCTGCTGATATGCTCCTCATTAAAGAGCATTATATACAAGCAAGACTGAAGAGTACTCATTTTAGAGTGGCAGGCACCACAGGAAGAGTCTTGAGCAAGTGCAGTGTTCAAGGCTGTAGAATAATGGTAAGTAAGCACATAAACCCATGCTGGAGGTGTCTGTCACTGAAGGAGGTTTTTTGGTAAAATTATGCTCCTTACAAATAATCATCAGGTTGAGACAGCATTAGAAATAAGCTTGAACTGTGCCTGACATAAACATTAATATGAGCCTCCATGTCTGAGGGATATCCAGAACCTGATCAGGAAAACCTTATTTAAAAAAATTTCTGTCTGTGGAGTGAGAATCCTCCTCAGTCGTTTTCCACAGCCAGGCGAATATCTGTGGAGCTGCAGTAATCCAGAAAAGAGTGCTTTGTAATGGTAACAGCCTCCATCTGCTGCAAATGGGAAGTACTTTCCATAAGAGGGGTGATCACACCGTGAAAATAAATAAGAAAGGCAAGACAATGTCTCCTCTACAGCCAGGGTGGGATTACTGCTAAAACAGCCATCCAGGGGTTTGTTCTGACTGATTTCCTTATTCTTTCTTTTAGCATCAAAATAGCACCATAAAATCCTTCCTCCCCTCTGAGGATTTATTTGTCTTATGGTCCTTGAGGCTATGAGAGAAACCACTTCCTGCCAGTTGTAATAGAAGGAGCCCTAGGCTTGAAGGAGCCAGAAAGAACAAAAAGATAGGATACTCTTGCTGTGCATCTTTTGCCAGAAAATTACCTAAAGGCAGAAGGTGATGGAGAGGGAAGCCTGGCTAGAGCTGGTGATTGGCTTCCATATGATGAAAGCAAGTGGTTCAAACAGCTTAGTCATCACAGGAGTGGTGACCAAACAAAATGTCATTTCATGTTTTCAAGGTTTGAAATCTTTTCCATCTTGAACAGTGTTATCCATGGAAAGTGTGACTTCACAATAAATTCAGTTAGCTCAATACAGACATAAAAATGCCCATAGATATCCTTCATGGTTCCACATGCTGATCGAGAAGGGTGTAGGTCCTGTGTCATATCCCACTACTTCCATCGGTTTCTGGGATACCCTTATGACATCTCAAATGCCACTGAATAGCTATATCTATGCAATTGAATCAAGCTCTATCCATCCATCCATCCATCCATCCATCCATCCATCCATCCATCCATCCATCAATCCCAGCCATTGTATGAGAAAACCTATCAACAAAGGAAATATCCAAGGATATCTTAAGTTACCTGAATTTTAAGGAATGAAAGAGGCTACAAGACTGTTTAAGTAGTTCATGATACTAAACAGAAGTGGAGAGAGAGCACAGTACCTCTTCTACCCATTTTTTTTGCATCCTATGGCAGCCCTTTGTGAAGTCATTGGTCTTTCGCTGAAGCTGTCACACAAGTAAATTTGGAATTAGGTGTGAAAAGGAGAAATAGGCTGACAAGACATTAGTTAAGATAGTGGTAGATGTTTGCAGATAACTGGGCATATTTGCCACACGCAGCAGAGCTGGAAATAACACAATGAAAGCAATTTATAAAAGGGGAACTACCTGGCCATCTCCTTTCTGTGTCTATGGGATAGAGATAAGAGATGTCTAGTGAGACAGGGAGAAGCAGAAGGATTCTGCAGAAATTTAAACTCGTCAAGGTGGACATCTGCTGATACTGTTCCTGTATAGGAATGTTGAAAGTGGTGAATGTGCAAATTCTCTGCCAAGAGGACCAGATGAAAATCAGAGAAGACCTCTGGCCCAGGAGGCATCCAGATAGAAGGTGGGCATCATATGTGCTTACTTTGGTGTTATTGTGCAGTATAAGAGTGGGGAAGCTGGTGAGAACGTTCTTGCCATAACATTGAAGCTTCTGTGTAACTAATGAGGCTCAGAGAGAATGGATGGGACTCCTGGATATGAGCAGAAAGAAGGTTGTTGAAGAGCTGTGTGATGGGCTTCCTGAGTCTGGCCAAACCCTGTATTAAGGGCACCTTAGGTACTCAGAG